ATGACAAACGAGATATGTGTGGGATTTATTTATAATTTCAGATTAGTGACTTTAAATCGTTTAATGTAATTAAGTTGCTTATCGTTACTGCATTTTTAACAGAGCTAAACCTAACTTTCCAAGTGGTAGAATGCATGGAAGGATAATGCAGATTTTGGATGGATATCCCATGTTTATGTTTGATTATAATTTTTATATTTTATATAATTCATATATTTTATAATATATTTTAATAAATAACACTCCAACAGAGGCTTATTATTTCCCCGTTTGTATTTATATTAGAGGTAAACTTTTACTTTTGTCTCTGTTATCTGTGTTACGACAATATGCTTTAATTTGTTTAAGAGAGAACTTAATGAATTTCAGCCGCAAATTAACTTCCTTCAGTTTTCAAAGAAGTTCTTCCACACTTTCATTATAGCATAGTCTTGTTGCCATCACGTCAAAAGTGGTTGGTAATTCTATTATTTCATGGATGTTAAACTTCAAAGTACTAAAGTGAATCATCCATCAATTCGAACTACATATGCATATATACATATGTGTACGAAATTTATGAAATCAATATCACAATTAATAATATGGTTTACTGACATCACAAGCATATTTTAACATCTAACATATTTTTGGTGTGGTTTTCTACAGAAAATTTTTATGTCACTCACGCTTTTAACAGCACATTTCCAACTTTCTGCTATTCCTTCGCTGCCGCTGTTAACGTCTAACATTCTGTTGTTGTTGTTATGTAGGAGTTTGTGCATGTATGAAGTAAATATCGAGTTGATTGAAGAAGCAAACATATCGGTATGTATACTACTTGGCACTATCTAATCTCAGAGTAATCACTAATCGCGCGGGGCGGTACGCAGATCTTAGATCAGTCATTGAATAATCACGAAGACTATGAGGAATACTCAAATTAGTCAGTGAGATGGGCGGGACTCTGCTGAAACCCTCCAGCAATCAAAGAGTAAAAGTGCCCAGATTCACTAACACTCGGAATAGGCTCAACATTACATTACATTACTATTGCTGATATTTTTGCTTTTTATTATTGTTGTAATATATGTATACGTGATAGATGAAGTATAGACAGCCGAGTGCAGTTTTTAAACCCAGATTCCCGAATGATATATTTTTTAGTAAAGCATTAAAAATTATTTTATTAATATTTGATTAATTTGTTTATCAGTTTCTATATAAAAAACTCATCAGATCTCTTTCTGGCTGCGTTTAGGACTAACTTCACTCTTGCTTTACATAAATAACTACAATATGATACTTTGACACTCGTATCGATATATTTAGAAGGTATTGAAGATCTTATAATGTATATGTATTATTAATAGGCTAATAATAATGGAAGGCTTGTCCATTTTTAAAATAGACGAATAAAATAGCGGATTTTTTTAAACATTTGACAGACCAACCAATATGGGTTAACTTTATTTCATAGTTGTCAAACCGAACAATCACGAAGTTTTTATTATTGACAAAAATTTATGCCGATATTCTCACATTTATTAAAAGACCGCGTGAAGTTACGAGAGTCCAGTGAATAATATAAAAATTATCATAAATTTAATAGAAAAGTAACATGATCCTAGTTTTAAATTGGTTGACAATGGATGAATGTAGGATTTCCTCGATTCTGATCTACTGTTTTTGCTACAGATAAAGGAATAACCTTTAAATCTTTATTTTTTAGCAAGTATAGCATATTATATACTTACTAGTAGTAACCATTGGCATAAATATCATGAAGTTCTATTATGAGATTGAGCTTATGCGTTTTAAATACATTAAACCAAAAATTAAATCGTTGCACTTAATCAGATAATATTACGAAATATCTGGGTGTGGCCATCAACCATAGATAGTCTTGCACAAAGAAGTATACATATATATTATTATTATTTTTTATTCCATACTCCATTAGAAGCTTAACGACATTTTTACATCAGGTACTAAATTCTTCATATCTGGAGTTGGTCTATTCATTTTATGAATTAAAACCTTTTCTTCAGAAGATCGTTTAAAAAAAGATATTTGAATCAAATCTAAATATTGTTTTGCACTTCAAATTTCTTTAATTTTTTTATTTACTTTTACCATTTGCTAGTATAAAATTGCAATAATGACTTTGTTTTTGGTTTATTTCCAACCTCTACATAAGAGTAAGAAACTCTCATGCATTGATTTACTCTTTTACTATGCGCGGTTCAGTTTTTTTACTGAACCATTTGCCCATATAAAACGGCAATCGTGACTTTGATTGTATTTGCACGCTTTGTATGAAATTATGGTTCAGTTTAGTCGAATGAACCTCTAGTCAAATGTAAAGCGATTTTCGCTCAGTCATTTATTTTCTCTTTTGTATTTACTGTGCGTAACATTGGAGTTTCACTTTTTTTATTGAAAACGCTTGCACGCATTAATTTAAGAATTATGATTATTTTTTTGTATAAACTACAAATGTATAAGAAGTCTGATCAAGAAATCATCGGAATATTTTTTTAATTCAAATCTTATTCATCAATATTTAGAATTTTGTTGTCACGACTTTTTGCTTGAAATATAATAAAATTAAAAAAGTTGCTAATGTCTTTCAAATTTATATTTATTTATCCTTAATATAATTAATTAATATTATAGCGGAAGTAACAATAACAAATGGATCGAATAGTCTCTTATCTTTTTGCATCACATTGCAAAATTCAAAAAGTTTTACAATCGGTTTTGACCTTTACAAACGTATTTTGGTCATACATTTACACACGAGGTTAGGACGAGCGATTCGTAACATTTTCAGTACTAAGCCATTTACTTTAATTTTAATGATTATTAATGGCATCTGCCATTATTAATGGCAGATTTAAATATTTTAAACTTATCCCGAAGTTTATACTAAATCACAGACATATTATCTAGCTTATTACTTTTCTGATTTTCTTCATTGTTATATACGCAAACTGCTGCACTATGTCCTACCGGTTCTACATTTAAAATTAAGTTTTCAATAGATTGAAAGGAATTATTACTTTGTATTTCTCTCTCCCCAAAATTGTATGCTGAAGGTATATTTCTTTCTCGGCAAAATCTTGTTGATGACCTTAAGACTGTAACAACATCTTCAGCAGTGAATGGGCGCCTATTCGTTCTATTTCTTTCCAAATTAAGCGAATTGGG